GGATGACCTGTTCTTAAACTAGTATCGATTATTATTAATATTACCGCTGTTTCCTGCTTTAATTTAATTAAATTAACTGTAAATGTGTTTCAATGATATTCGTGTTTGCATGTGCTTCTGATATCGTAAGCTCAAGTTTGGAATTATTAAACTACGAGGTTGTGGATTTTTATAAGCGGATCTTAGCAGGTACTGGGGTTTACAAGGCTGGCAAAGGCATACGTGTCAAAGTTTCGTGGCTTCATTTCTGAACGTTCGATAAAAATTTTGTGGGTAGACATGGGAAATAACAGAGAAATGTCTATGAATCACATATAATTCATACGGAAGTTATCTGAAAAAAAAAAACTTGTATCTGTGTTACAAAACATACCGAAGACTGGCTTTGTAGGCTGAGAACTGAACCTGTTTGTGTTAGTCAATGGACTCGCATTGTGAGGTCCATTTCAGGGCGGAACACAAACTGTTCCTGGATACATTTGAGGAAATACACCACCTCACTCCTAAAAGAACCGTCACTCCTCTGTTTCTTTTATAAAAATTCTGACAGCTGTTTTTATCTCATTGTTATATGATTGGTTTCCTACTCAGACCAGTTTATATTGTGAAGCTGATAGCTGCTTCAGGTATTTGATTCAACGAACATCGACTAACACATTACTTCAATCCAGCAAACCAGACAAACATACGCTTAAAATTCCTCTTAGGTAACCGACTAACCAGCTGATTAAACTAACTAACTAACTAAAGAACCGAGAAACAAAGTAACTTCATGGAGCAAAGTCCTCTATAAGTAGAATTTGAGGTTTGAGTATGTTAATGATGGCTACCTGCTGGGTTGTTGTGCCGTGTAGTCTGTTAGAAGCTTACCGACGTTTCAGAGGTCCTAATTGCCTCCATTGTCAGGGAAATCGCCCTTTAATGACGACAGGCTGTATAAAATATTCAGCATTATAACCAATAATTACGCAAAAAATTTAAATAAGTACTTATATGTAATAAAACAGGTATAAATAAAGATTATTATGAACATTTAATGATGGCATTACGAAAATGGAGGTGTAGCTATTTTTGTGTAAATACGACAACAAATATTCTACTAAAATTTGACTGAATTTATGTAACAAAAAGTTATTTTAATATTTACGTAAAATAGAAAATTAGGCGTAACTGTTATTATCTGCAGTAAATTTCAATGATACAGCGAGCATTCAGAAGACTAAATTCGAAACACACGTTTGTAACAAGACCATTGTACTTTTTGAAGCCAGAAATTTCCCATCTCAAACTGTGTGTGCCTCTACAGCAGAAATCGGATTCAAGCAGGTTTTGACGCCTTCAAAAGGAAACAAAAGAAAGACTTTTTTTTAACCTAGAGGGGGATAAGTCGTTTACGAAGTATTGACCATTGTTAACTTATATCCACTGCCCTCTAAATATCGGTTTCCTCTTCAGAACTTTACAATACCACTTAAACACCTTCAATTTTTTATTGCCAACCTCCAAGCAGTGTGAAATATACCCAGTGAGGCCGGCATCCATGTTGTTTTAGCTTCTGATTGACAGAACTATTATATATCGATGTTAACTACGCACAATAAGAATGTATAATGAAAGAGAGAAGCAGATAGAAGGGAACTGAAGAGGGCAGACAGGTTCAGTTGGTGGAAAACATGATGATAACAAGAATCATTCACAATTCTGAACGTGCCCACAAGACCGTGACGAACAGAGAGGGGCTTGTTTCATAGTGAAATAAAAAAGATTGACACCCCAAAACTTTTCTTTTTATATCTGACTTAAAACATCAATTGTTGTCGGACACGTCTCTAGTATTTTTCTCCTGTATTATTTCCATTTTTAGCTTTCTTTCTTATATACTTTTTTACAGTCGTTTGTTTTTGACTTGAATACGAATGGTCACTGATGGGAGAGAGAAACACATTTCGCTACCAGAAGATGCAGTCCTGTTTTGTTACCGTATGGCTGACATGTAGTGTGAAACGTTTTGACACACTGAATGTTTTAACAAAAGACGAACAGCACGTTAAACGGAATTTTGTGTCAGTATGAATCTATCTCCTGCCTCCAAATAAAACATTGAAGTATATGGGCACGTCTTTTGAGTTCTGCAGAACTGGACTCTGGGTTACTGAATCAACAGTCAACTATCCGCATAACAAAGAACCGGACACTTAAAACTGGTTAATAATTGAAATGTTCGTTCAGAAACAGGTATTTAAGTTGACAAGGTTCATTACACTAAGTAGATGAATCCAACTTAACATCGGCTGTACTTAGTCGCTTTTTAAACTGAAAGACGGTTTAGTTACCGTGTAGGTTTAATGCTCATTAAAATAACATTCAAGACAATGAAGAGCTGAGCATCACGACATGACATCAGGAATATATTACTTGATTGATTGCCAATTTAGGCTTCTTTCCGGACTCTGATTACCAACTACATGCCCTGGTAGATCGACATCGATAAGTTGGCTCATATCCTGACACAAGTCTCGTCGTCGTCTTACGTGAACAGCACGCTGAACGCCTTATGTGGAGGTGGCGTCCTTTCGTCCCTAAGTAAAACTCTCGGCGAACATTTGATGAACTAAATGCAGTGAAAACTCACAGTACAAAAGAAATAAAAACCCTGAAATCATATTTCTGACCAACGAACGAACTTCTCGCATACTGGTTAGTACACATACTTCGTATTCGGGAGGTCTCTGGTTCAAAATTTCAGCCACAGATCGGTTATCCTGAGGTTTTCGTTATTTTATTCAGTCCCATACAAATGTTGGGACAGTAGCTTAAAGTAAGCCACGACCGCTTCCTTTATATACCTTCTACTTCATGAAACATCCTATAATTCAATCATATACTTCCAGTCTGAGCTACCAACATTGACGTTAAATGAACTGTAGATAAATAAAAACACGTGGATCTCAACAGGTTATCGTGATTTGATGATGATCGTGACATATTCTGGAGGTATCCAGACGTCTCTTGTGATTTCCTGAGTTTTTCCAGAGAAATTCCGGGACAGTACGTAAAACGAAGGCCACGACTACATCCTTTAAAATCCTTACCCACTCAAAGATTATCGAAATCTGAATGTAAATTTCCCCCATTATAAGCGTGCATGTCTTTGCATACTTAAAGGATCCTGTTAGAATACACGATATCAAACAAGACTCTTAACAGTGATTAAACTAGTAACTGCCTGTCAGATAGAACCGATACACTCATAATTTATGGTTTCTAACAATAGCTAATTGAGATCGCCATTCTAGCCAACAGGTATTGCTAACTCATCATTCTTTGTTAGCGACAAACAGTGAATGCAAGTAATGTATTGGTTTAATCATCACATAGCATTAATTTATTAATCTAAGATGAGGTTTCGGTATTTCATCCAGCTGTAATGTCATAACAGATCATTTCATTGCTTTAGATCACTAAAGGTAAAAATGATGTAACTCAAAACCGATCACCTTAAGGTGGGCGTGGGAGACATGACAATTCATCAACATCATCAAGCACAGAGTTTGGTTTACCTTCGCTCACTTCAACCAGAGGGCAGGCAGGACCCTAACAGGACTCAGGAAAAGAACTCGAGACTTCTTAAAAATGACCAATGTAACTCGGTCCAAAATATCTGTCAGAACAAGCTTACCGGAAGAAACCACAAGTAACTGCCTTACCAAAAAAGTGAGGAGCTAGCATGTAGTTTGCTCTGACGGTCTTAAAACCATCGTTCACACAAGGCAGCTAGAATTCGAAGGTCAAAATCGGGAAGAAAATATTTTACATCTGCCATTAGAAAGTTAATAAGGCCAGAAACTCAGTTACAACCACACCTGGTCACAATTTCTGTTCCTATTACATTGCCTGGAAGATAACATCGGTGTCATGATTAAAGAAAGACTTACGAGAGGCCTCTACGTCGATGGGGGTTGAGTAGAAAAGAAAGGCTGATTGTAAACCTTGATCAAATTCCTTTCATGTGATGCAGTCATTTGGCACTCACTACAGGTTGAACTTTAAGACCCAAATAAAGAGAAATAATTCAGTTTTTATGTACAGTGACGGACTAATTAGTTATCTTAACAACGCAGATGACGTTTAAACAGCACCGTTACTTGTATTTCATGTTATTACTTCTTCTCTTTCAAATTATCCTCTTCTCTTCCTCAGATGTCATCTCCAATTTCTTCATTTTCCTCCTTCCCCCTCTATACCTCTCTCATTTATTCCACCTATTATTCACTGTCCATCTGCATGTTCTGAGTTTGAAAGTAATAATTTTAGCGTTTGGGGTCAATAACTGGAATTACTGTAGTAGGCGATTAGTTGCGTCTCATATGACATGGAGGAGATAGAACACTCTGGCACTTACATATTCATCTGTCTTGTTCAGTATGAGATACTTGACGTGTAGGCCTGAGACATGTCATAGAATTTTAAGTTTCTAACCTAAGGAATGCTAAGTCATCTCAGACCATTTGGTAGTTACAGGTTATAATTGTTAATGAACTGACATCAAACTTAATTAATGGCCATTTCAAGTTGTTAAAATATGAGATGAATAAACTGTATCTAGACTTCAGATTCATAACCTGAAGAATAAAATATAAACAAATGTCAGTGTTCTGTGACGGAAGAACAGAAACATTATAAATATATTATTCTTCCGATTAAAACGATTAGACCCTATTTAATTAATAGGATTTAACAACGACACCCTCCAGAATTCTTCCAGATATTTAAACATTTTGCATTTAATACTACACAGGTCTAACAATTATTATACAAAACAGTATTCACAAAAACCACGGCTGTTCCTTGCTTGAACATCAGACCACACGTGTTTTTATCTGTGTTTCCGTTTCATTAATTTTATTTGCTTAGATCTGCGTACTTAGTAACCTAATGAATCCGAACTGCTGAGTACTTTCATGTCATGTTCTAATGTTGTGATTTCTTCCACTATTTAGGTCCGGACATCCCAGGATTCCTGCTTCAGCCATTTCGAAAACCAAAGAGGATCCGGACAGCGTTCAGTCCGAGCCAACTTTTAAAACTTGAACACGCTTTCGAAAAGAATCACTACGTAGTGGGAGCAGAGCGGAAACAGCTAGCGCAGTCACTCAGCCTCACGGAAACTCAGGTAACTATCGTGTAACCCATAAATCACCCACGAGGAAAATTCATCGATGTTTGAATTTCTTTACAAATAGTGTATAGGAATTAAAGTTGAACTTCTAAAAAATTAACTCTTATGATGATTTGAAATGGCGAGGTCGGATAAGTCATTAAAATCCGTTACACCAAAGGTTTAATTAAATATTGTGGTCATTCTTGTGCTACACAAGGCTTCCGTGCCACCACACATTCGTCATGATGATGACGAATGAAATGTCTGCAGAAACACTAGATAATTCCCAACATTCGACGCGGCTCGACCATCAAAGTCAAACAAAGTCTCGTGTTTTCAAAGATTAAATACGCTCGCGGGCAGAGATGCGTTTCGTATTGCTGTGTTTCTCCTAGGGGCTACTTAATTTTGTCTGGACGCTATTAAGCGTGTGAGGAAATGGCCTTCTTCTGTGACAAACCACCCCCCCACTTTGCATGTCTTGATACATTCATTTGAGTCGTCTCTGGAGTAGAAATTAGGATACATTCATTTAATCGCGCGCCACAATGGCATAACATAGGCCTATCTCCTGCTTAAATCTCCCCTTATCATTCAAACAACATTCAAATTTGTTCTAAACAAAGCAAAGTACATAGTGTAAAAGGAGCAAAATTCATTATAAATACGCCTCGTGGCCATGTTGGATGGCAAAGACAAGAACGAAATATTACCCTTCATTGTAATGGCACCCCCTGTGGAGATGGCAGTTACTTTTTACGTCTGTTCAAGTAGGCCTGTCTGGACCCCCCCTCCCCTGTGTTTGAATTCAAACTATGTCAGCTTACGAAACGTTCTTACATATCGTGTTAGAAATTCAAATGCTACCCCCTGATTTCACCACCCCGGCACCTCGCATGCTGGAGTTTAAACAAATAGTTCCTCCCCTTGTTCGAGGTGGTAGTGTTTCATAAGTGTGACGTACTCACAAAGCAGAAGGAAATCTGATAATTTTGAACACAAAGGCAAAATAATCAAGAAGACAAGGGAGGCAGCTTAACGTACGTACTGAGAATCGACAGTCAGGTCGATAAAACAGCTGTACTCTTGTAACCGATCACAAAATATTACCCTAATAGTCAAATTTCAACGACCAATGTACAATGATTTCTGTAGTTAGAAAACCGTGCCTGAATAAATGTTCTACCGTCTGAGTACTTAATCGCCTAAATTACTGAGCGAATTTTGATTAAATTTTGTATTCTCAGGTGTGTGTTATATGTTGCAATTCGAAATTTAAAAATGAGAAATGCATTCTGTAGGCAAAATGCTGGAGTTATCGAATAATAAAGAATGCCTAGGTGGTATGTTGTGGATACTAACGTGTTTTGAAGAATTAAAATCAAAGAGAGGAAGTTACTACGAAGAATCTGCTCTCATTTTCCCTGAAGTTCTTTCAAAAATGATTTTCTTCATGAACAATCTGGTAGGGACTTATCACAGGCAGATAACAGGTTAAACTTGTTATAAATTACAGAGAATAAGATAATCATAACATACAAGTAATTGGGTACTTTCTAAAATAAAATTACTGGAATAAATTAATAGTTAACTAAAGACGTATAAGATATCTTACAAACACTAATCATGATGGTTGCTAAGCATAATTAAAGGATACTAAGCCCTCTTAAAAGTATGAGGTAACACAATGTAAAGTTATATTCAGAAATCTAAATTAAAACACGATCTCTTATCACTGATCCTGAATCCATTTTTTATAATTAAGAATAATTAGCCTCGAAAAAAGTTGATCATTATTAAAAACTTCAGCTAATGACAGTTAAATCAATTTCCTTTAAATTTCCTGATATGGAAACATTATGTAAGGGCAATTTTGCGTACGAAACTGAATTATATGCTTCAAACACTGTAAGTTTGGTAATTTTACTACTGAAAGATTTCAAATTAAGAAAGCCATGCGAAAGTTACGTATTAGATTTCTTCCGAATAAAAATATAGACCAGTACAAGAAAAGTCAGCATTCTAAATTACCAACCTGTTAAAAAGACGGTATTGTAGGTAGGATTATGTGGCATGAGTGAGACAAGAAACACACACAAAATTGTTATCGGAAACCTTCAACAGAAGAGACCGCTTGGAGATAATAGCATTGGATTAATCTGGCTGAAGACGGAATCAAATGTCAGACTCTTAAACATGGCAATAAACCACCAAGTTACATTGTTTGAGTATCTCCAGGATTTCGTAGTATTTTTTCCTTCCTCACATCATAAGTTAATTTGTCTCCAATGTATTTGAAAAGCACATGTTATCACGGCTGTGATTACAAAGATGGCTGTCTTCTGGGCTGTTGCGGGATGTATAGAAATTTATCGACGTTTCAGAGGTGCTGGCTGCCTCCATCAGGGCGATGATCGACAGCTTTGTTGATGAAGACATCAAGCACCTCTGAAAGTCGGTATACTTTTACCAGACTACACGGTGAAACAACCTAGAAGACAGCCATCTTGGTGTTCACAGTTTCAAAACATGCTTCAGTCTTCCGTCATGCGACCTTAAGCCGATCCAAACCTCAGTCTCCACAAAAGCTTCCACATCTCGCTGAAATTCAATTCTGGAATAACAGAAGTTGAATTTTGATACGTGATATTAAGGCCATTATTAAGTCCTATAGGATAATCCGCTTAAGAATACATTTCTTTTCACGCTGTGCGGAATGTGAATCCGCTGGTAGTCCATCTGTTCTCCGAAGAAAGATGGATACTCAAGGGATCAAATTACAGAGTTGTTCACGACTAAATTCACCCACAGATGAGATGTCACGTAGAAAGTTAGTTAAGGGATGCTGTATTCCGTTTTAGTAGAATTTCAGGTTTCCACGGCGGCTACTAAAAAGATGGCTGTCTTCTGAATCGTAACGTCGCGTAGCTGGTAGAAGTTTACCGACCTCCCAGAGGTCCTTAAGCCACTCATCGTCCTTGTTCTTATTCAGTGCCGTGTCTTGAACACTTGTGCCATATTTTGGAAAAAACGCATTCACTGTCTTAGTCTGAATTAAATTTGTTTAGGCATGTAATCCACAGTTTCGGGGAGGTGCGTTGTCTGGTTGGACAAACAGATTAACAGGCAACAGTTTAAACTTTTTCAATGGTTGATTGTTATGCTAGGGCATTCTAGGGTCAGTTTATTCATCTGGTATTAGTCTTGCGAACATCCGTATTCTATTACGCACTTACGGCTTCATTTTTGTATACACTAAAACGAGTACGTTCAAAGAAGCAACCGAGTTCACGAGCAGTCATTTTCCTCACCGTCACCACGTTCGGGCCGACTCTGGGGCTCTCCCAGTCTCCCATCCGTCCATACGAACTGACCGTTTCCTCGCATTTAAACCGGCATAGAAACATGAATTTTGCAATTAATATTCTGGTACTGCTGTTGATCTAAGGGGAACAAGATGATTCTCATCTAGGATACTGTGATGTTTAGTCTGGTAGAAATTTATCGACGTTTCGGAGGTGGTTGCTGCCTCAATCATTAGGACATTCGTCGAATACGAAGCGCAACATCACACAATACAGACATCTTCATATAAAAAAACTACACTCGCTTACATTATAATGATGCTAATGATAATGATGATAATGCTAGAAACGGCAAGACAGGCAGCTTCCCTTTTAATCTCTGATTGGTCGGTCTCAGTGGTACAGGAAAGGTTCAGGATGGCATATAAATTTCTACCCCATCTTTCTCTCCATGCTTTCAGCCCCTAATCCCAACCCTCGTTCGCTGTATTAATCCCCTTAGCTCACAAAAAGAACCCATAACGACAAAGCCTTTTCATTAAGATCCACCCCTTTTAACTACCCCCCTCTTCTGACTGCAGATAGGGGCACAGATGAATAGACCAAGAGATTGGGGTGGAGTGGGGTTTTGTGGTAACAATGGCTTGAATGGATGTTGATGGCAGTGAGTTTGGACCAATCAGGGCTCTTAATGGGAAAAGACGTCTCACTCTTTGATGCTTACCAATCATAATACCGGGTTTGCTATGACGTAGTAATGGAGTGGATGTGTTAAGCAAAGACAGCTACTGGTAATTGAGTGCACGGCGGATGCTGGGCACGGTATGTACCAGTTTCCAGCAAAAACAATGTCGGAGGGGAGGTTGATAGATGGGCCAAATGTTCTGCGTTCGATCGTCATAACGAACAGTTGGGAGTTTGTGTCCCACTGGGGACTTTCATATTAGTGTGCGCTGTGTTTCGGAATAATAGACTAATAATAGACTCTCTTCCTCTGGAACCTATAAAATAATTTCCATAACTGCATTAAACGTCTCCAACTACTGAAGAAAATGTAGAATCAACTGCACAGACTGACAGCACGTAGTCTCAAAATGTAATTAAAGTGTTTATTTCATTTAAATCAATTCAGCAAACCACGCATGTAACATTATACAGATTTTGACAGACCGAGAACTACACGGTGGATAGAAATTTATAACCAAAACACGCCAATGCAGTAGCAATATACAAAAAACAATAATTTTTCTCCCCTCAAATTAGACTCTTATGCCAAGGAAAATTTTGTCGACGTAGTCTATATGACCGCCACGGTGGTCTAGCGGTTAGAACGCTGGCCTTGTAATCCTGGGGTCCCGGGTTCGATTCCCGGCGGTGCCCGAATTTATAACTTGTGTTGGGCAAGGCCGTGGTCCAGGTATCACGGAGTTTTCCTCCGGGGCTTCCCCGGTTTCTCCGTGGCATCCCAACAATTACTCCATTCACACACAGAAGAAGGCAATGGCAAACGACTTCTGGATCATCTGCCAAGAACGTATATGAACAGGTCCCAGTCCGAGAAAAGGATGGAAGGATCCTGTTCATGTGGACCTGTCGTCAGACAGAACACTAAATAAAATAGTCTATATGATCTAGGAATGCTCAGAATGCGACCGATCTGATTTCGGGAGCTCTTCTACAATGAATTTTAGACTTACGTGATTTTCC